TGAAAAAGCTTTTAAGTCAGACAAAGACGGTCGCAAAATTTTATGGAGACGACGAGGAGGACGTTATAACGAAGTGAACGTTTTACCAAACAGATCAAGTGGAAGAATAACGTTAGGGTATTGGGGATGGATGTCATCCATGGGTCCCGGGGAACTGTTTGAAGTGGGTGGTCGTTTTAATAGTCACACATATGTCGAACTATTGCGTGATGTAATGTTGCCCACAGTGCGCATTGCTTATCCTGACTCTCACATATATTTCGTGCAAGATAACTGTACTGTCCATCGCGCCAGGGTAGTGAGTGATTGGTTTGCATCACAAAACAATATTTCAATTATTAATTGGCCATCTAAGAGTCCAGACTTGAACCCAATTGAAAATTTATGGGGGCAAATGATTTTAAACTGGGACTCATCTAATGTTAGATCTAAAACAAACTTAGAGGAGCTTGTTGTGTCTACATGGGAGTCAATGCGTGGTGGAGATTTATGCTGGTCGATGGTCGCAGGCATGAGAGACCGTTTACAACAAGTGATCGATTCCGAAGGCGCCCCTTTACGGTATTAAAATTATAATGGTTAAATAAGTAAATACTTTTTGTGTAAATGTGTGTTACGAGAATAGTTATTAAATTATAAAGCCAACACTAGGAAAAAAAAGCTATACGAAATGTGAGTGATGTTATTGTTAATAATTTAACATGTAATTCACTGCACTACTGTATAATTTTGAAAAATACAGCCTGTAAAGCTACTACAATTAATAATAAAATTAGTTTTTCTAATATTTTGTCAATATAGACTTTGTTCTACTATATTATCTTACTTGAACCTGTCTGATAATAATAAGTTAGATAGATCTAATTGTTAAAATTGTATAACACTGTAGTCAGATTAAAAAATGTATGTATAGCAGTTGCTGATACAGGCTGTAGGTAGATTTTTTACTAATTATAATTTACTTCTTTACTAATTATAATTTAATCAATTATAATTTAACAGCTACTTCTTTACTAATTATAATTTATTACAATAAAATAAAGTGTTTGTTCAATTACCAACGAAATTATTTTTTTGCTTCATTCACCCAATGTCTGTTGACTCTCATCGAAAAAATAACGTTCTAAGACATTCTTTACATCTTTACTTATTGTTCTGAGGTCTATACAGAGATTAAAAAAAATATTATTATTTTTCATGTCGATCAAGATTCGAACCATGAACCTATATTTGCAAAGCAAGTCCTATACCGCTAGACCACGGTAACCTTAGCTTAGCAGGTTGAAATTTGTATTCTGTATTTAAGTAAGAACTATACGTTAAAGATCAAATTGGCTTAAAAAGATTCTTAAAACGTCATTCGCTAATGATGCCAACAGGAAGTCATGCGAAAATGCATTTTACGGCACACAGATTAAAGATTAAGTTTGTTTAACACTTTTCTCCACACTTTTGTGCTCAGTACCAAAAGGTCGTTTAATATAGTTTAGGGGGTCAGGTATCTTAGGGCACAGAGTGTACATACATTAGGTGTCATTATTTGTTATAAAATTTGCTTTATGATTTTTTTGATCATTAATATTTTTAACCAGTTTATGCTTTTATAAAAGTGCGTAATTCTCGTTTTACTTTACAACACAATCTTAGTGGTTTTGATTCCAATTTAGTTCGCTTATGTTGTTGTATATCTTTAACGGTATTTAGGAAAACAGAGATTGTACGGCAAAGCAACTATCTCATGAAAGGTACTGAATGCTGTAAGATCTTTTTCAATGATAACATCATTAAACGGTCGAAGTCTCTTCGTGTTTTCTTTTGGTTTATTTGTCATATACATACATTTAGTATTGTGATCCGAAAGTTGTTCTTATGTTACTGATAATTAGGTCTACACGAAAGAGTAGTTTAATCGGTTGATATATATGTTGTCTTACGTTGTAATTCTTTATCAAATCTCTAAGGCCGTGGTTGTCAGCAGCATTGTCTTAAATGTTGTGTTATATATTGTCTTAAATGTCTCGTTCATGTTAAAATTTTAAAAAGTTCAATAAACTCAAGAAGAGTGCACTAAATATTTTATGTCACTTGTATGCACTTAACTAGATTATGAGTAAGTAATTCTAAAACTGAGTTCCAAAATTGTTGTGTACTAACTGCAATGCTGCGTCTCACTGCTATAACTAAGCACCAGTTTATAGGTAATAAAACTAAGGTAATTAAGGAAGGATGACGAAAGTTGACCCAATAATTATAAAATCAACGAAGAGCCGTTCATGGACTTTGCTAGTACAATTTTACGTTAAAATTTATGCCTAGTTATTTATATATTTTTAGAAGCCGGGAATAAAGAAAAGTCACAAAATACACGAGATGTCCCCATCTTTCTTTAAAAAACTCCTGGTACAAAACAGCAAATTCTAAAAAAGTCAATAAAGTCACAATCTGTCTACCTACCCTACTCGTCGAGACTACTAAAGTCTACTTAAAGCTTAGTTCCTGTGTCCGCTTTCAGCTTTTGGCCATTATCAGGCCTTAGTCTCTTCTGTAAGCCAACTAATCGATTAGATCAATTCATAGTAGATAGATCTGCTTTGAGCAGTTGAGGATTTGATTAAACTGTGCTTAATGTAACAACACATCAAGGCATCGAGTATATAACCAGAAATAGAGACGAAATAAGGGCCATCCATCTCTGGCAACTCATCAGGCAAATGGGCCTTATATCACTTTTAAATATCAATTCTCGTTTGCGCTGAAATCACAAATTAGAACGCTGAAATAGTACAGCGCCAACAACTGACCTGTATGCACGTCTCCGTATAATCCAAAAATATTCTGTATTTATTGTAATAAAGATAATATCTCTAACAATGGAAGGCTGTCCATTCGGTGGTGTGTCACATTTCGCCGGTAATTAAATATATCATTTCATTTTCCATTTTCGTCCTAATGGACGTAATAATAGCAAAGCATAATTATATAAAGCTTATAGATTGGCAACGCCCGTCAATTGTTTCGAATTCGTGCTGGTCAATCGGAGCGCAGTGGTCACCGTAATGATTTGGCAGAATAGTTTTCAAGCAAATTCAATGACATTTCTCTATTTTTGGTTATATATACTCGATGCATCAAGGTTATCATATCGTAGTGTAATCGGATTTCCATATGCACCAAATTTCAATTCGTTCAAGTTCGTAATGATGGGGAAGTCAAATAAATCTTCGTTTTATGACTGAAAACCCTGCTAGGAAAAGGGCTGATGATCTTTAAAAAGCCGAACATACGTTCATCAAATATAGGTAGATACTGTAGCCTAGGGGATAGCTCAGGTTGCGTAGCGAGAGGGATTAACTTCAAAACTAGATGTTTATTGTATTTTTCTCATATTTACTTATGGAGGCTACTTCTAGATCTGCCAAGATGTTCTTCTTTTTCTATCCTATTTTTTTACATTCTAAATACAAAACTATATTCACTCAGCCAGTAGTTCTACTCATAGAGTAGCGCCTAGATTACAATACCATCCCGATTCAATTAATCTGCAACCAAAGAAAAAACCGCCTGGAGATCAGTCATCCATTTAGGAGATACGACATACAAACAAAGGCTCAAACTTATAACTCCCTTTTTTGCGTCGAGGGTTAAAATATTTATATTTTTCTTGCCCCCTTTTTGTTACAAATGTATCACTCAGGCAGATAGCAACGGCTTTAGAGTTTGAATTAATTAATTCGGAAAGGGTAATTTTCAGAAAGTCCCTTTTAACTAGGATACTAGCAATGTTTTAGTGAAAATATATTGTCGAATGTTTTAGGTTTTCGCATTGACTTACAATTATATGGACGTCGGGTCCGCGCTAAAAAGTGTCCGCACTTGTAAGGCGCTAAAATCGTATACAGAGCGCCAAACTCCGCTTTAGTCTTCATTTGTTCGACTGACAGCGCGATACTGCGATGACATAACAATTTAAATTTCGAATAGGTTGACTTGAGACATTTTTTTCGTGGTTTTTGTATTAGACCCGTCGTCCGTTTATTTGTAAGTCAATGGGTTTTCGCAATTGTTACACAGGAAATGAAACTATTTTTCGGATTTAAATCGCGAATATTTGTTTTTTCAATCAAACTAACGTTTCTGGCCCTTTACAGGTCCCATGGTCATGGTCATGGACATGGTTGAAAATGTACTGTTTTATTCGTTGGAGAGTTCTCATTGTTACCATCTTTATCGTCAATTGATTCGATTGTTAAGCTATTTAAGTTCTTATGCATAACGTTATTGATCAATAAGTTTCAGGTTCGTATTCCAGAACTCTACTCAATGCTCAAGTCCATTAGGGTCGTATTTCCAGTGCTTCAAATCATACTAAGATCCTGACTTGAGCAGACTTGAGTATGATTTCAAGCACTGGAAATACGACCCTAATGGTAAGGACTTGAGTATGATTTCTAGTGCTTTGAATCATACTCAAGTCCTGACTTGAGCATTGAGTAGAGTTCTAGAATACGACTCTTAGTCTCAAAAAATTTAGCTAAAGCGTTTGTTAGTACCGTTTGTGATTATCGTACGTGAGACGAATTCAGGGCAAATTGCCACTGTAGAGTAAATTGTTGAATGTATCGACTCGCTTATCGCATTACAAACATGAATACAACTTGTGTCTGGGTGTTGGGAAACAATCAAGCACATTAGTAACTCCAATTTTGGATAGGTCTGTTGTAAGCATATTACCTAAACTCCTATAGCCGGGCATGCTTCCTCTATAACTTTATGTTGAAGCATGTAATAACTTAAAGACCTTTTTCTGTAGCACATAATGCAATAAACGATATGACAATGACTATAAACCATATCATAAATATATTGATAATTACGAGCCCTAGTTTTGATCATCGCAAATAAAAGCTTATAATTTATAAATCGAAGATTCTTTGTTAGATTCTTTCCACCTCTAACTAGGTTACCACTCCTTCCTTTATTAAACTTGGCGTTAATTCCAGAACACTTCGGTCCTGGAGAACCATCACTGGAGGTCCGCAATTAGCTGCCTCATCGAGAGCGGTCTCCTGGACCAGATGCATGACATGCAAGCGAGGCTCGAGAGTCAGATCAGCTCCCTGATCTTAGCCACCGACATCACTAGGCAGCAGGAGTACTTGAGCCAATTCAAGGTAAGGTAACATACGTATATACTCGTTTTCAGACCGCACAACGCGACAATCGCGTTTCGCGCCCTTGAAATTGGAATGCAGATTGTAAAAATTTAAAAAGAATTGTGTCTGCTATCAGGGATATTATTCCTATAAGGTTTATATTATCCGTTGCACTGGTGCAACCCGGTTAGTCACAATTTTGCACCTTTCCCCCATCTGCACCATCATCATCATTCAAATTGTTTTCCATCGCCATCTTCAAATTTCGGATGCCTTTATACCTAGTTCGCTTTTTCGCGAGAATTGTGTTAAACACCTTGTGGACAGGGAGCGCAGAGCGTTGGCAGTTTAATGCATTCTGCACTTCTCTGGACTCGTCGAGTCTTTGGGTCGGATACACTCAAAGGGCTTACCAAGCTCCGCGCATCCAATTTCAACGCAGTATGACCCAAGGAAACGAAATAATAGACAGAGTGTGGGGCAGCAGTAACATCATCTTGAAGATATCTATGAAATGTGACAGACACACTTGTAATTATTAAGTAGGTACTAATGTAGGCTAAGAGTTACTAACACAATTGTGGACCTATTAAGACGATGACCAGGAAAATGTCAACTGGATGTCAGCACTGTAAATAGTTACATGTGTCAAATTACTACGATGTCACTACGATTTCCGTAAAAAATTATTAAAACGACAAATTTTTTTCTTGATGGCCAAATTTTTTAGTTTTTTCTCCTTGTGACTATTTGGAACGTTTATTTTTCTCAAAACTTGTGCTTAATAATTTCGTCAATCCTGGTGCCGCGAGACTTTTTCACTTCGAGAAATTTTAACTTTTTCACCATAAACAAAAAAAAACTGACCTCAAAAGTATCCATATTCGCTTTCGCTGTGTCTGTCCGCGGTCTCCACAACGTTCACCGTCCTCATATGAGTCCAACGTAGCTGCTGTACACTGTTGAGGGATTCCTCTTACCTGTCTGTTATTTATCAACTCCAGGTCACCATTTTATTTTATTTTCATTGCCAACTTTTATCATTCATCCCGAAATTTACCATCGGAAGCGGAATGTTTTCCTCAAATTCGAATGGAACTAAGGGACTTGCAATTAAAAAGAAATCGGTTCAGAAATGTGCGGTAATTGCGGAACGTACACACGTAACAAAAATACCTTGAAAATTGCTTACATGCTTAAAGCAACCGAATTGTAGGTAAATAAGCATCCGATTATCCAACCGTTAGTCATAACCATTTCTTTACACCCTGTACAAAATCAATAATATTAGTACAGGGTACCGAATCTAATGCAAGTCACGCGTGAATGACTGCAATCACAACAATACAGTAACAACACCATCAAATGGAATCAATGTTTAGAAACTGAACAGTGCGCGGAGTGTTAGTGCTATTCCTTTTATAAATCTTTACACCTAACACGTGAATGTTTTCCTATTGACACACAATATAAAAAAGAAACAAATTTAATGGAGCAATTACTCTGCTATTGTGGTGTAATATTTTGATATTCTGAGGGATATTCTGCCGTAATCCAAAACGTTTAAGAAAGTGGTTTACTAGTCCTAGTTAAATATCGGTACAACCTCAAAGTTGATTTCGTATAACAGTGGAAGTGTTGAATTGTATTTCGGATTATGGCTGCTAACAGATTGACTACATGTTTGCAGTGAATGCGTGAAGTCGTAATCAACTTAATGCAGCCGAGACCACGACTTCATGTAGTTGATAACGACTTCACGCTTTCATTGCATACAGTCGATTTCGGCTGCATGAAGTCGGTTTCGACTGTATACAGGCAACGCGTGAAGTCGTTATCCGCGACCTCGACTATATGAAAGTTGTAGAAAGTGTAGTTTCATGTAGAGACTATTTACCACATTTACAGTAACGTGTTTACTCTGATTTGAATGATAATTTGAACAATTTCCTTATTTAATTTAATTACAATATTTTTTTCATTGTTTTAGGCATCGTCCATTATATATCCTAATGAATATATACTACTTGAATTAAAATTATAAAAGAACGTCTCAAAACAGCGTACTTCTGCCCCCGTAGCATGGCTACGCATGATAGTTGCGACGCGCGCGATAAAATTGACATAAGCAATAATAAAATAAATAATATAAAATATATAAAATAATAAAAAACAAAAATAAATGAAGCAATAAAATAATAATAAACTATTTTATCGCGCACGTCGCGACTATCATGCGTAGCCATTCTACGGGGGCTGAAAATACAAAAGTCACCTCATCTAAGGCAACAACTCAAAGAACTTGTCGATTTATGTCTCAGGGTGATGCATAAATTTTTGCGATTTAAAGCTCTGAGTGGCGCAGCAACTGCTATAAACAGGCGTGTCGCTTACCACTAGGCGTACGATTATATCATCCCGTCATTTGGTATCATAAAAAAAACTCGCTGAGACCAATTTCATGAGACCAAACATTACTTGTAAGTAGTTGAAGAGATACGTAATAAGCTATCCTATTGATATACCTTGCGTTAATTTGCGCTGCTATATATCGTATATTAGCCGTCTGTTATCAAATATTTAATTATCTTAATGAGTATCTAGCCTTATTTTTATAATTTTATCAAACTATGTATACGCGTTCCTAATTTTATCAAATTAATTTATAATCAATCGTATTATAATTAATTGCGCATGTCGTGATACCTATTTTGTAAAATACCTACATCTGCTGTGTTCCATGTCGCGTGTATTTTTTGATAGCAAGTGACGGGACGAACACGTCGTGCGCCTGGTGGTAAGCGACACGCCTGTGCATAGCAATTGCAGTGCCACTCAGAGCTTTAAATTGCAAAGGTCTATGACGATCGACCTCTTTCATCATCATCCCACCTTTTTATCATCCTTTTCTCTAGTTCCTGGCCGCTTACTTCTGAAGCTTTGAATTGTTCTCTAATTCTTTTGCCTCGTCATTATCACTTTGCTTCGGTCCGTCGTCACTCGCTACTAAATTTCCGAAACGAGGACACGTGCTCGACTTCACCTTAACTCTGATCAGTTTCACCAGTTTTCCCATTGACTTACAAATAAATGGACGACGGGTCTAATACAAAAACCACGAAAAAAATGTCCCAAGTCAACCTATTTAAACGTAGTGAGATGTCAAGGAATATGAAAAAGCTAAAACGTTGAATTTAAATTGTAATGTCATCGCAGTACTGTCTAATTTTGCTTGCTTCGCTGTCAGTCGAACCAACGAAGACTAAAGCGTGAATGACGCTCTGTATACGATTTTAACGCCCTATAAGTTCGGACACTTTAGCGCGGACCCGACGTCCATATAATTGTAAGTCAACAAGTTTTCCATTAAAATCGTCTAATATTACTAAAATCAAGTAACCTAACTAATATTTGTAGAAAATACGGACCTTTTGGGCTTTCCTTTTCGCCTTGTTTACCTTTTCTTTAATGAGACATTATACAATAAATTTATGTGGACCGAGTCGTCTTCTAATCGCGACAGGTCTGAAAGGCCCAGCCACTGCGCCCGTAACCCTGAGACACAGGTTCACAAGCCTCATGTGCCTGTAATTTCACCAGCACCCTTACCATTCAAATCGAAACGCAGTACTAATGCTCGCATTACTAATTGGCGGCAGAAGTAGGTAAGCTAGTGACTTAGCTGGACGATTCCACACGGAGCTCTAATGCTTCTAAGTATACTGTTATCGATTTCTTTGAAAATTAAAATCTTACAGTGATACGATATATAAGCTGAGTGGGTTACGGAACACGGGAAGTTTGTCATTTCCGGATCGTGCGACTTCTTCCCGGTCTAGGCTTTTAAAGTAAGTATGGAAATCCATTACTGTCCGCTGCTCTAAACTTTTAAAGCTATCTACTACTTCTTTTTTAAATAAGGCGGTAAAATAAACTAAATGATTTGTTATTATTTTCTGTTTTTTCGTCATTTTTAAATTTTCATCGCGAAAATGAGTTCTAGTTAGAAGAGCGATAACGAAAACACAGTAATTGATAGACATTCAACCATGTCATCAGAAGTTCAGCGGACTTTGAAACTTTTGTCAATTAACATTTTTTTTTCTTTTATTCATCTTCCTCTCTTTAGTCTTTTATTATTTCCTCACATTGTTTGAGAAAGCCACTGCCTGGACTTATTTTACTACACTCGTCCAGCAATCATTTACTGTCCAGTCTCTGCAATAAATACTATATTCCTTGAATATTTTTAAATACATTCATTACGACTAGTAAAACTAAGTTCTTACAATTTTTAAAACAGTTATCGTAAACACCTTTGCAATCCATCTTATAATCGTATTTTTAATTAATGATAACCTACTGACGGCTACCAATGTCACAATAAAAATAATATTCCCATGTTTATTGCGTAGTGCTGTGCTTGATTCAGTTTCCGAATGAACTAAAAAAGAAACGTGAAAAGATTTTTTACTATCAATCTATAATCTAGCCAAATTCGATATAGAATGTTATTAACAAAACGTCCCTACGCAACCGATGATGGCAGAGGTTAAGAACATTTTCGTCAATATGTGTTATTTTACGGCTATCTCACGGCCTGCTCGAGTAATTGGAATTTAATTAAGTAGTAATTGGATTAAGTAGAAGTTATACTCCCCCTGCCAATTATTATAATGTTAGCAAAGTTCCTATTGATACATATGATTTATGAATAAAATAATTGAGTTTTTGATACCTGCTAGACAGTAGATAAAAAAATCCATCGTAAGATTTTACTTTATATAAATTTACTACATATCTAGCGTCAATTTCCGATTCTGAACTTAAAATACTACTACTAGTCGAATATTTGCAAACTCCCCCTTCCAATCAAAAAATCACAAGGGATGTCAGTGTTATAAATAACTATTCGCTATTAATTTTTAGCGATTTCAAACTTCTGTTGAATAAAATTCACCAAAGACATGACTTCACTATTATTATTTTAATTAGTTTTATTGAATTTCGGGGAATAA